ACTAACTAACTAACTAACTAACTAACTAACTAACTAACTAACTAACTAATTAACTAACTAACTAACTAACTAACTACTAACTAACTAACTAACTAACTAACTAACTAACTAACTAACTACCTACCTAACTAACTAACTAACTAACTAACTAACTAACAAACAAACAAACTAACTAACTAACTAATTAACTAATAAAAATCTGCAAAGATCTGACATCTCCATTATTTCCAATAAGATCCCCTCGTAGAAATTTTCAATAGGGTAACCTTCACGTTTCTACCTTAAGAGGTAATTTCGTATCCGATTAAACTGAATTTTTCGGAGTTCATTAATATCATTTTTTAATATGGAAATTCGCAGTATTCTAAATTCCTGCAATTAAAAACTTCCAGTATATTAAAACTCTAGATTTTGTCGTCTTTCCCTCTCGTATTCGATCTTGATCTAATTCTACTGTCGTTTCGAACATATTTACATATGTGGAATCTTCACGGCAAGGTTAAGAGAGGTACCATGCGGCTTGAGGGCACCTCTGCCAACATCGCTTAATTTGAAACCGTTTTGCTCTTTTTGCTATAACTTTTACTGTTGTTCATGGTTCATGTGCCATCACTCTGTTAATTTTTCTTCTATCTTATGTTCAGTTAGCTAAGTACTTTAATTCATTTTTTATAATATTTTTTTTTTTAATTTTAAAAGATTTCATACGCGAATATATGTATAAATAAAACTTCACAATTATATTTTGATTTCTTGGTGTTATCATAAAATGTTTATTAAATTTCATTTAATTTTTATTATTATTTTTGTTCTTGTCATTATTAAAACAATTCTTTTACATTACAAGTTTTTTTATTAAATTTTAGTTTCGATTTTTTTTATTAATAGTATACATTTCTTTTGTTATTTTATTTAAATTTATTAATTATTAATGTATATCATCGTCTTAAAATTGTTTTTTTTATTTAATTTTTAATTATATATAAGGTTTTATAAGAAATATTGTTTTTTTTTTTTTTGACTAAAGAACAATTTTTAATTAGTTTAGATTTTAAGGAAAATTTTTGTTAAAAAATAACTAATTTTATAGTTTATAGAAAAATTAACAAATAGTTGTACAGCCAACATAATTAAAACAAATTAACAAATAATAATTTTTATAATTAATTAATAATTATAAATTTTTAAATAGTTTAATATTTATACATAACAAAAAACTTTTTTAGTTAACTTTTTTTAAATTTTATATAAAAAAACCTTAAACAAATTTAAAAAAAATATAACAAAATTTTATTTTTGTTATATTTTAAAAATTTTGTTTAAAGTTTCTTTTTTAATTTTAATTTTTTATCATAAATTTTGATATTTTTTTTTGTGTTATTTTTATATTTAATATTAAATATTATTGTATTTATTTTAATAAATTTTATTGTAAGCGAAGAATATTGTTTTTTATATATTTTTTGTTAATATGCAGAACATCAACAAAAGAAATAAAATTTTATTTAGAAAAGTTGAGTCGTTAATTAATTAAATGCTTTAAAAATATAAAAAAATGTCTAATAGACATTTTTTGAACTTTATTTTCATTACGATCTTTCTTATTTTTTTTTTTTCTTCAACATTTTATTTTTAATTCATTTCCCCCAAAATTCATTTAAACCCCTTTTTTGTAATTTTTTTATTATATCTCAAGCTGCTCAATTTTTTTGTATAATTATGCTTTTTTTAATAATTTTTTGTTTTTATATTTTTTAAGAGTGAATGTTTTTTCTTTAATAATTTCCTGAGGTTTCATTTATTTTTTTTTTTTTTTTTTATTTTTTCAATATATTTTTTTATTTATTAAAAAATTTGACTTAAAAATTTATTATGAATAAAAAAATAAAAAATACTAAAATGTTTTATAATGAATTTACAACCCAGAGCCTAAAGTAGAAAATTATTTTTTAAATAAAAAAGTTCTAATTTCAAATGTTTTCAAAATTAATTTTTAAATAGAGAGACTTAATGAAAACTACTTTTTAAACCGTTTAATATTAACTAGATATAATGAATTTAGAAACTAAATTATTTACAAAATGTTATTAAAAATATTGTAATTTATTACACAAAGCAGAAACCTTCAAGTACCCAAGTGGGACTCGAACTAGAGCCTGAAAATTTTTCAATTAATAATATAAAATTTGGACATTCTTTTCATAATATCGAACTTGCTACAAAATTTTTTCTTTTTCCGACTCTTTGCTCTCTAGAATCTAGATGATCTGAAAAACTATAAAAATATCATTGAAAAATTTAGAGAAATAGTTGGCCCCAAGTGATACTTCAACGCGAACGTGAAGAATATTCAGTTAATAATATGTAGTTTAGACATTATATTGATAATATCGATCTTCCTACGATCACACAAATACAGAATTTGATCTTGCTCTGTACCTTTGATCTCTATATCGATCTGATACTGTAGAACAGTGAAACGCTTCATGAGAACCTATGCTCACACTTGTATAGAAAGCGAACAAAACCAGTCAGAGATCAAATTGTTTACTCTCTGCGATACTAGAGTCTAAAATCTAGATGATCGCAAAAACTATAGAGGACACTTAGCTGGATTTTTAACGTACAAAGCTTTTAGACATTATGCAATAATTCTTAGAGCTAAAATTTGTACTAAACGCTCAAAAACCTAATACTTACTCTCTCACTTTCTCTTTTTTCTCTTTATTTTTAAAACTCACTATTCTGTAAGTCTTCCCTGATGTAACACTTGAGACTCTGTCTAAAAGAATTCTAATCGAAGACTTTCAGAAAGAAATTCTGATCTAAATTTTTGGAAAATTCTACAAAGAATGATGGAAATAGGTTGCTTCTGAATCTATACTAGAGTAAGATGAAAGTATATTGACAACTTATCGCTTGTAGTTTCGAGAATTACTTTCGGTCATTTTGTTTTAAGACCTTTATCGTAACAGTTACTATTCTAAAATAGAAGGTTCATTAGAAATCCGTTGCTTTAGAATCTGCTTAACAGTATGAAGAAATTATATTGAGAATTTATCGCTTGTACTCTCGAGAAGATCCTTAATCGTAATGTATTCTGGAATTTAGTAGAGTTTTAAGAAGAATAAATATGAAAAATCGATCATAATCGTTAATAGTATGGTTTTACTTAAATCAAGTACAAAATACTTCTTGACTCAAGTACGGATCTGTTAAGTATGAAAAACCTGAATTTAAGCTTTTTTTAGGTTCAAAGTGAGTTCATGCACTTGTTGCGAAATTGAATATCATTCTGATTTGATCTTTAAAGAATATAGAATAAAGATTTATTTTCCGAGATTGTCAATCGGATGTAGTTTTGAACTTGTATACAGAAAAAATTAGTCGATAAATCCGTACTGAAATCAATCCGAAACCGTGAATTTTTGTGAGACTGCAATAGTTCCGAGGCGATGTTCGGGAGACACGACAGTAGTTAAATAAACTCTTGAAATATTGAGATTATTTTGAATAAATTGAACTTACATCCTATATGTTCTTTAAAAAACATTATAAAGATTTATTGTGATTTCAAAATCATTTACTTGATCCCTGGCAATACTCGCGACTCACGAATATTAGCTTAAAATCGTAGTGATCGTAGACCAGGCCTCGGAAAATAAGCTCTCAGACAAGTTTTGTTCTTAAAACAGCGAAAGGCAGAGTTCATTTGAGAGCTCACTGCGTTTTATTGTTTTAAAAAATATGCGAGCTTACAGCAGGAGAACAAGAGATCTTTTTGCCCATATTTATCCTAGGCCACGAACTCTTTGAACGAGACTAAAATTGATCAAAAATATGTAGGGGCTTTTTAACGAGCAACTAAATTTCTAAAAGCTCGTGACAATGTTTGGCCGTTGTTGAAGCTTTTTGATGGAGAGAGAGTGTGTAGAAGTCATTCTTTTGGAGGATAATTATGAAGTGCTAGGGATTTCCACTATATTTCTTAAAAGACTAAGATATATAATGTAAGTATGTGTAGCCAACTTAATATCGAATGAAGGCCGATCATTACGAAAATCTAAGCAGTACCGATTTTTGTAGAGATATTAGAACATTTAGCATAATTGTAAGCTCAAAAGCTCTAATCGATTCAGAAAGTGATAGGTGAGCCGATTGGTATACTTTAAGGTGGGTGTAGAACCAATAGGATCTAATAAACATTATGATTATAGTTGATATTACAACCTGCTTTTCGTAGTTTTCTTTCCTTTTATATTCAGATATTTAAACTGACCCTTTTGAGCTTTAGTTCTCGATGTCTGAAAACAAAAGCAACTATAGATTATGGCTGTATCTACAGCTGCTCTCTTTAGTAGTTGTACAAAAATTCTCTTATAATCGTGGACCCATGTGGTTTTAATTCATTTACTTCGATAATAGAAATCATGAAAGCTTTTAAGGAAATCGGAGACTTATTTAAGAAATTAACAAATTGTTGATAAACAAGTAAGAATTTATAGTCGGACATGGCCTAGTTTTGAAGTGATACTAGAAGATTTAACATATTTATGAGCTCAGAAGCCTTATTCGGGGAGTACGGTTGTATGGGTGCTATACGAAATAATGGACCGATTTTAACCATTCCAATTCAATAGGCCTTGGGTCAAAAGAAGAGTGTGTGCGAAATTTCATCAAATTAACTTGAAAATTGCGACCTGTAGAGGGCGCACAAGGTTTACATGGACACACAGAAACAGATTCTGAGCCGATTGGTATACTTCAAGGTGGGTGGGTGTAGGACCAATATTTTTGGTTCTTCCTCCACATTATAGTGGTGTAGGGTATAAAAAAGCTTTGAAGGGAGATTATACAAAGTTTTTACTACAAAGTTTTCAATTATTTTGATACAAATTTTTTCCAAATTTCAAATTTTATAGAAAAAAATTTACATAAAATACTACTTTTTACTTAAAAATTTAGCAAAATTTTAAAACAACTACTAACTACAGCTAATACATAAATTAAACTAATTACTCTACTAAAAGGTGAAATGAAAAACGAAAATTATTTGAAACTAATTTTGAAAACATTTTCATTTTATAGTTTGTATTTTTCCTTAAATATTGTTACTTTTTCATGTTTTTTTTAGTAAAAAAAATGTGTTAGAAACTAAATTAGAAAATACATAGTTTTTTTGTTTATTAGTTATTGTTGATATGTTAAGGATATAAATATTGCTAAGGATTTCATATTAAATTCAATTCCATAATATAGAATCCTTGATATTGAGTTTCAAATCTGTATGTATGTTTTGTTTACTAATTTACGGGCAAACCGTTAAAGGACAGTGTTAAAGGAAACCATAAGTTTAAGGAAAATTTAAAAAACAAAGTGGAAAATAATAAGAAATTCAATAAACTTTAACTTTGGTTTGGAATGATAATAGATTAGAGATTTTCAATATTTGTAGTTGTTTTAGTTAATAATTATAATAAATTATCTACATATTTATATAAATAAATATACATACATACATAAATATTTTTTTTTTTTCAAAAATTTTTAAAGGATTTTTTAGGCTTAAGGGTTTTTTTCATTTAATTTTATACTATTTTCTTTTTGAGATTTTTATTTTTTACTCATAAAGCCGAGTTTTTGTTCTTTAGAAGGATAAATTTAAATTTTGTTTATAGATTTTGTTTTTTGGTTTTTCTTGGCTAATCATAATTTAAAAGAGAGTTATTGAAATAGAGAGAGAGAGACAAAAATAGTTATTATATAGTTAGTTACAGTGTGTTGAAGACAGAAAGTTGGGTTATATTTTGAATATTGAACATCATGATGTTGTTGTTGTAAAAAACAATCGTTTTTATTATTTTTCTATATAAGTATTACTTCAATGACTCTATAAAAAGTTTTTCTTGGCTGCATCCGTTGTATGTTTATCGGTATCTTTAAAGTCTTTCGATGTTATGGGTGGTCCGCGAGATTCAAATGTTGGTTTGCCCATGGCCAAGGCGGGATTTAAATCGAGCATAGTGCGTGGACTCATGGCAACAATACTGGCACCAATGGGACCTATAGAAAGTGTTAAAAGAAATACATAAACAAAATTTTAATAAAAATCTATCTATCGAAAATTTGATTAAAAAACTAAAAATATATTTTATTAAAAATGTATAATACGTTTATAAATAAGTATACAGAATAAAAGCCATTTAAAAGCAAGCTGGAAAAGCTATTAGTTTAAATTTTTTTTGGTAGATAGTTAAGAGAGGAAAATTAAAAACATGCTTTATGGAAATTTATTACATAGGAATAGATTAAAAGCAAACACTATTTACATGCAATTTTGTTTTTAATTATTTTTTAACAATTTAATTTTCTTTTTTATTTACATTTGTTTATTTTTTTATTAATTTTGTTTTTATTATAATTTTTTATTTAAACTAATCAGTTGAACTAACAGGATTTCTAAGGGGATTTCTTTTAATGTGGTTTGGTATTTTTTAAACTTATCTAAGAATCTCTTTTATTTAAGGGGAATAATTAGTTACTAAATATTTGTCTATTTTTTATACAGCAGGTGACAGACATAAAACAGTTTGATCAATTACCGAGCTAGAAGGTCACGATCATAGTTAAGCCTTTGGTCTCGATCATATAATATTGATAGAAGAGACAATAGTTTCGATCTTTCAAGAGACTCGATCATAAAAACGACTATAGACTGTTTGATATATTACAAAACTGATACTATAGAAAGCCTATAGTCACGATCATAGTAAAGTCTTTGTTCTCGATCATATAATATTGATAGAAGAGACAATAGTTTCGATCTTACAAAAGACACGATCATAAAAAAAAACTATAAACAGTTTGATATATTACTAAACTGATACTACAGAAAGCCTATAGTCACGATCATAGTAAAGTCTTTGGTCTCGATCATATAATATTGATAGAAGAGGCAATGGTTTCAATCTTACAAGAGACACGATCATAAAACAGACTATACACAGTTTGATATATTACTGAACTGATACTATAGAAAGCCTATAGTCACGATCATAGTAAAGTCTTTGGTCTCGATCATATAATATTGATAGAAGAGACAATAGTTTCGATCATACAATAGATACGATCATAAAAAAGACTATAGACAGTTTGATATATTACTGAATTGATACTATAGAAAGACTATAGTTACGATCATAGTAAAGACTTTGGTCTCGATCATATAATATTGATAGAAGAGACAATAGTTTCGATCATACAATAGACACGATCATAAAAAAGACTATAGACAGTTTGATATATTACTGAATTGATACTATAGAAATCCTATAGTCAAGAACACAGTAAAGTCTTTGGTCTCGATCATATAATATTGATAGTAGAGACAATAGTTTCTTAAAAGAAGCTTTCATCTCAATCATAAATGAGACAATGGTTTTAATCATAAAATAGACTTTTGCCTCGATCATAGAAGAGACTATAGTCTCGCTCATAGAAATCCTTTAATCTAGATCATGGAAGAAACTTTAGTCTCGTTCGTAGAAAAACTAAAGCATAACAGAAACTATAGTTTTGATATTAAAAGAGAATATAGTATCGGTCACAGTTCCGATCATAAAAGTCCCTTCAGTATCGTAAAAGCGACTATAGTCGCGATCATAGAAGACTCTTTGATATATATCGTATAAGAGACTATAGTCTCGAGCATTGGTAAGACTTTGATCATAACTTATACTATAGTCTCGATCATAGAAGAAACTTTAGTCTCTCGATCACAGATATAACTATAGTTCTGATCATAACATAAACTATACTTTCGATCATAGCAGAGACTTACAGTTTCGATGATAGCAAATACTAAATATAGTCTTGATCATAGAAGAAACTTTAGTCTCGATAATAGAAGGAACTTTAGTCTTGATCATAGAATTAACTATAGTTCCGATCATAAAATAAAGTATAATTTCGATTATAGCAGAGACATATACATAGATCATAGCAAATACAATATATACTTATGACCATAGAATAAACTTTAGTCTCGATCATAAAACAGACGATAGTTTCAACTGTGGATCATAAAAGTAAAATTATTCAATTTCTATCATAGAAGAGACTTTGATCTCGATCTTAGAAAAAGCTTTGATCTCGATCTTAGAAAAAACTTTGATGTCGATCATAAAAGAGTTTTGCAAATCGACCATAAACGATCACTATCGATCACAGTTTTTTAAGCCAAATTTTAATTCTTTTTATAAAAATCACAAACTTGTTTCAATTTTGTCACTTACTGTATGGAAATAAGTAATTACAGGGCTTGGGGAAATACATTTTTAAGTGATGGTTATAGGTGGGGGAATTATAAATGGGGGTGACTACTTTATATTTTATTTAATTTAATATATAGTTTTTTTTAAAGGAAAAAAGTATATTTTAATTTTGATTTGTTAAGAAACACACCCTCCCATTTCATTTTGCTTCCGTTTATGAGGCAGAAGTGTTATTTTTTGAGCATTTTCTTTTTGGAAAAATGTGTCATTTGTGTTTTTTTTTTTTTTTTACTTTTTTGTGATATTAATATGAGCGTTGTCAATTTGAAACTTGTTAAAAGGATTTTGCTATTTTGTTTGTTTTGTTAAATGAGTTTTTAGTCAAAACCAAAGGCCACATCTGTAAGATACAAAATAATTATAGATTTTTTTTAAAATGTTTAAAGATTTTGGTGTTTTGTTAAAAATTATAATAAAATTGTTTAATTATTATGTAAACTAGAAAAGAGATGTTGTATGATTAAGAATCTAATTTTTACAAATAATTTTGTACAAATTTGTTAATAACTAATGTATGAAATAGATACACTCTCCTAACATGATAGTCAACTGATGTAAAATAGTTTTATGAATTTTTTTTAATGTTTTAAATATGTTTTTGAAATTTTAAAACATTTTATTTTTATACAAGTTTACCTTATTTTACTTATTTTTTTATTTATCACATTTGTTTTTGTAATTACACACACTTACATGAAATAACATTTTTATAAAACATACAAATAGAAAAGATTTTGGAAAACACAAATTTTTTTGATCAATTTTTAACAAAACTTTATTTGTTTATAAAATTTACTAGTGATTCCTTAACTAGAGGTCTTCATAATGAGAGTAGAATATAAATAAGATATAACTCGCCATCGTAATCAAGACTATAATAACGATCTTGATCATGGAAGAGACTGTAGTGCCAATCATAAAAGAGACTTACGTCACAAAGAAGGAAGGAAGAGAAGGAAGAGTATCGATTATACAAAAGACTACAGTCTCCATCATAAAAAACTATAGTTTCGATCATAGAGGAGACTTTTGTCTCAATTAAGCAAGATCATAGAATGGACTATATTCTTAAACTTTATTCTCAATTATCTAGGAGTCTCAAGTTCAGATTACGGAAGATCTTAGAAAAATATAGACTATCGAGAGAAGAAGAGTAGACCACAGTGTAGATCATAGAAAGATACTTTATTCTAAATCATGGAAGATACTTTAGTTACGATCATAAAAGTAAACTTAAGTCACGATTAGGGAAAGGCTCGATTATAGAAGATCATAGAATGAAACTATAGTCTCGATAGAAGATACTATAGTTTCGTTAGAAGAGGCTGTTGTCTTGAGAAACTATAGAGTCGATCATAGAAGAGACTACAGTTAGGATTAGAGAAGGGAACATTATTCTCAATCATGGAAGAAATTGTACTACCGATCAAAGAATGGGACTGAAGTCACGATCAAGTAATAGTTTATTTGCGACCATAGAAGATACTCGAGCATAGAAAAAACGATAGTCTCGATCATAAAGGAAACTATAGTTTCGATCATATCGGAAACGTTAGTCTTACACATACAAGTGTCTATTGTATCGATCATAAATGAGACTTTAGTCTCGATTATGGAAAAACATAGAGGAGACTATAATCTGTAAAGAAGATACTAAAGTTTTCATAGAAGATCGCAAACTAGATCTCTTGATCATAGAGGAGACAATAGTATCGAGTGAGACTTTAGTCTCGATCATACAAGTGACTGTCATTTCGATCTTAGAGAAAACTTTAGTCTCAATTATGGAGGAGGAAAACTATAGTCTCGACAGGAGATACTAGACTAAGATCTCTTGATCATGGAGGGAACAATGTGTAAAAGAGACTATAGTCTAGATTATACAAGTGACTATCATTTCGATCTTAGTCTGAATTGTGGAGGAGGAAAACTACAGTCTCGACAGAAGATACAGACTGTAGTCCCGACCATAGTAGAAGGCTTAAGACACGATCAAGGAAATACTATCATCTCGCTCATAACTACAGCCTCGATCATAGAATAAACTATAGTCTCAAGCTTAGAAGAGACAAAAGTCTCGATCATAAAGAGATTCTAGTTTTAATCGTAAAAGTGGATACAGTCTCGATCTCAGGAAATAATATAGTCCCTATCATAAAATACCCTTTAGTCTTGATTATGGAAGATCATAAAAGAGACTATAGTCTAGATAGAAGATACTATAGTTAAGATTGTTTCAAGTTTCAAGCATAAGTCTTGATCAGACAAGTGACCATCGTTGCGATTATAAAGGAGACTACTGACAAGCTCGAATAAGAGCCTATAGTTTCGATCATAAAAGAGACTTTAGTCACTATTATGAAAGATCACATTAGTGACTATGATCTATAGTTTCAATACCATATGAGAGAACAATCTTGTTCTTAGAAGTAACTATGGACTCGATCATAGAAGAGACTATAGCCACGATCATAGAAGACAGTTCTCTTTCGATCATAGAAAATTTTATTTCCAAACGTTTCGATCATAAAGGAGACTACAGCCAAGCTCATATTAGATCATAAAGGAGACTTTTGTCACTATTATGAAAGATCACAGTAGTAACTATGATCTCGATGGAAAAGACTATTGTTTCAATAGAAAATACCATTGAAGAGAGTACAATCTTGTTTTTAGAAGTAACTATGGACTCGATCATAGAAGATAGTATAGTCAGGATCATAGAAGACAGTTCTGTTTCGATCATAGAAAATTATATTTAAGAGATTATTCTTGAACATAAAAGAAGTTATAGTCTTGATCATAGAGTAGATTTAAGTCTCAATCATAGAAAGAAATTTTCTTCCATTGATAGAAGAGACTTAAATCTCGATCATAGAAGACGCAAGATGCAAAGATCACTAGTAAATTTCATATTAAAGCCAATAATAAAACTGAAAAATTATAAAAGACAAAATACAACACACACACACTCAAATTCAATTCAATGGGGAAAAAAAGTATAGAAAAGTATAAAAGAATTTTAAAGTAGATTTAGAAACAAATTCTTCCAATTAAATAATCAAATACCAAATCCAGCGTAGATTAAAAACACATACCGCAGCTGTAGGTTTATCTCAAAACGTTTGATTACTAAACAAAATCTCCAATACAATCCAAGGCAAAAAGCGAGAAAAATGCGATAAAAATGTTTCAGGATTTTCAAAAATTTTCTTTTTCTTTTTTTTGGTTAAAGATGATGGAGTAAAATGATGAAGATCATAATGAAGATGAAGAAAGGAAATGTATAAAATGTTTAAACAAATCCATAATGTTTTAAGCAAACACAAATGGAATGGATGGGTTATCCTGTATTATCCGGGTTTTAAATAGATATGATCTTTAGCGATATGATGTTAATTTTTTTTAATGTTAACATTTAAATATTCTTTTAGTTGGACTAGTTTTGTTGTAGTTACTGTTGTGGTTTTTTAATTATTAAGTGCTTTTTATTTGGATGGTGTGTTGTTGCATTGATTTCATGTTTGTTTTTTTAGGTTTTAGGAGATGATTTACGTCGCAATTGAGCTGGATTTCAAAGCAGTCTTCCCATTTTACCTTCACGATTTTTGCTAAGCATGGCCGTATATTCATCTAAATTTTATTAAATGTTAAATATTGTTGAAATGAAAACATGTTTGGTTATAAATAAATAAAAAATACATTAAGTTATAAATATTTAATTAACAATAAAACAAAATAAATTTAAAAAAAATATTAAATAAAAAAAGGTTTAATATATGTAGTTACGATGGGGTTATAAATAAATATTGTTATTGTTGTTGTTATACAAATATTTATATATGTATATTCAGGTAATATTAAATGCATTATTTGTACAACGTAATTATTTGTTTTAATTTATAGAAATATTTAATTTTATTATTTTAAATTTACAAGTGATTTTAGGTGCAAAATCAGTTTTGGCTCTGGATGCTATGCGAGTTTTTTTTTTTTAATTTAAATACAACAATATTTTATTTTTATTATTATTAATAAATATTTTTACAACTTTGGCTAAGCAGTAGTTAGTTAGTTTGTGTCTGTATTTGTTCTGTAAGCCAAAAATTCTATTCAAAAATTCACTTGTTTTTCATTCATTCCTTAATAAATATTTAATCAAAAATTATTTTTTTTTTTAAATTCAGCTCTGTAGTTTTTTTTGTTGTGTTGTTGTAGAAACTGCAAAAGTGTTCTGTACATTTTTTTTAAATTTTTGTGTTAATCGTTTAAAAGCTTCATTATCTGTATACATTGTTTTATAAAAAAATTAAAACAAATTTTTTGATTTTTTTTTTTTTGGAAAATAAAAAATTTAGTTTGATGGGGCAAAACAACGACCAAAAATATGCCAAATAGTATAGAAGAATTATAATTGTTTATCCATTCAAAAAAAAAAAAACAACAAAATTTAATTTATTTACACTATACACACACACTTTTCCGATTTTCTTCTTTATTTCCAGTTGTACATCGTAAAAAATGCGTTCGCTTTTCCTATATCGGGTACTTGCTTTCGAATCGTAACTAAAAAATTGTTTATAAAATGTACACTGGCCCGGAATTGATATAAGATTTAAATTTTTTGAATCTAGAGTCCCTACACAGATATACACGCCTGGTACCAAATTGACACCAAATTTTTCAATAACATCCGTTGTCAAGTATTTACGTACTACATATAACAGCAACATGTAATGTAGGCCACGCAACTTTGCCAACATTGCAACAATTCGTTGTCACAATCTAAACTTTATGCACACCCGTTGTCTAAATGTTAACAAACGTGGTAAGCTCACGTTTGTTGCGTGGTCTACATTACATATTGTTATTGTATGTATATACTTGACAACGGATGTTATTGAAAAATTTGGTGTCAATTTGGTGTATATTTTTTTTTTTTTTCCTCGGACTCTTAACTTTTCGCCCAAAAAAGGGAATTTTGTTAAGAAATAGATGTGATTACAGATGTTCATCCTTTTGACTCTTAAGCCCCTAGTTTCATCAGATAATGGACTTTAATGTTTCCACCCAAAAAAGTCGAAATTTGCTAAGAAATAGATGTGATCACAGATGTTCATACTTTTGAACCCCTAGTTTCATTAGAAAACGGACTCTTAAGTTTTCATCCAAAAAAAATCGAAATGTAATCTCAGATGTGGACTTTAAAGTTTTCACTCAAAAAATTTAAATTTGCAAAAAAATAGATGTGATCTCAGATATTTATTCTTTTGACTCTAGCGCCTTTAGTTTCACCAGATAATGGACTTTAAATTTGCTAAGAAATAGATGTGATATCAGATGCTCATTCTTTTGGGCTCTAGCGCCTATAGTTTCTCCAGAAATTGAGTTTTAAGTTTTTACTGGAAAATTGGAATTTTACTGGGAAATAGAAGTGATCACAGATTTTTAACCTTTTGAACTTAGACCCACTAGTTGCTCCATAAAATTAAGTTTTATGTTTTCACTCAACTAATGCAATTTCGGTCCATTTTGGCTCTAGTTTCGCTAGGAAATGGACTTAAAAGTTTTCACTCAAAACACCGAATTTGGGTAAAAATTAAATTAATTTTTAAGTTTTCTCTCAACAAAATGCAATTTCGGTCCATTTTGGCTCTAGTTTCGCTAAGAAATGGACACTTAAAAGTTTTCACTTAAAACACCGAATTTGGATAAAAAACTAAATTAATACAAGTTTACGATTCGAAAAAGTACCCACTTAAACTCTAAACCTTTCCAAATACACAATATCGTTTCGCCTATTTATCCTCAACTCATAAGAAATGATCTCCTATCAAATCCCTTTTCTGGCTGCCAACATTAACCTATTAAATACTCACCCGATTTTGGACTAACTAAGTCTTTGGTTTTATTATTCATACGTCTAGGACCGGTACCAGATCCCATGGGGCCGGAGTTAGGTCCAGAACCGGGTGTACCACAACCGCTTACACCTCCTGCTTGACCTAAAGCAAAATGCCACAAAAAAACAACGAAACAACAACAACAAAATATTTACAAACACAATACATAGCAATTGCTCTCCACGCGCCACAAAAACTCACCTGGCAGCCTGGGTGGACGGGGCTGTTCGACCGGAAGCACACGTCTACGTTTCTTTGGCAGTTTGGCTCGTGCCTGTGTATGCGAATAGTACATGGCAAAGTTGCTAACAATAACGGGCACTGGCAGTGCAATGGTTAGCACACCGGCTAGAGCACATAATGCACCCACAAACATGCCTATATAGGTTTTCGGCACCATATCGCCATAACCCACTGTGGTCATTGTTACTAGGGCCCACCATAAACCCAACGGTATGCTATTGAAATCATTGTGGGGATTCGTTTGTATTCGTTCCGCATAGTAGACTAGACTCGCGAAAATTACAATACCCAGCACCAGGAAAAATACCAGTAATGTCAACTCCTTGGCAGAGGCTCTAAATGTTTGTATAAGAATTTTAAGACCCGACGAATGTCGCGTCAGTTTAAACAGTCGCATGATGCGTATAATGGAGAAGAATTCCAATATATCGGCATTCTCCAAATGTGAAGCAAAACGTTGTAATACCAAATCTATGTAAAAACTGAGGGTGGCAATGTAATCAATGATATTCACTGAAGATTTAATAAAGTCACACTTATTCGGTGATGATATAAAACGGACCTATGAGAAAAAATTAAAAATATAAATCTATTTCGTAGTTTTAATTATAAACTAAAGTACTTACTAGTATTTCAAACGTAAACCAGGCATTACAAACACATTCAATATAGAAAAAAGCTATGTGGGCATTTGTCTGAGGTTTATCCAAATACCAGGAGGAACTGCCATTTGATGTGACTACCGTTTTATTCACAATATACGGTACTCTCATATCCGGGTGGGTTTTCAAACAGAATGATAATATTGAAATGCATATAAAGAACACCGATACAACACCAATTATCTAAATAAATTAAGCATAGAGAGAGATTAGAGACGAAAAATAAACTTTCATTAGATCCATTCTTACTTTTGCGGCATTTGAACTATATGGCTCATCGAATAGTGACCATATTCGTGGTTTTATTTCCTGCCACCATGATAGTGTTCCCTTATAATAGTCTTCTTCGAAACCAAATTTTCGAGCTAATTCCTCTTCGGACGGTTTTTCTGTATCTAAATCTAAACGATCTAGTACGGCAAGAGTTTCTTGAGTGTCACGATGCTGTGCGCGGTAGAGAGAAAGAGAAGCATTGAGAGTTATTTATTAAGGAATGGACTTGTGTTTGTACCTGGGTGTAAGTCATCCAACAACAGGGTTCAACTTGATTTGAATCTAAACCCCAAAATTCCAATTCTTCTTCAAATAGTGGTCCACATACATCCGTAGGATAATGAAGTTTACCAGTTCTGAAAAAGAAAATACATTTTATAAATAAATTTTTTCCCGTAGATTTCAACATTTTTTTCTATATTTTGGACAATAATTTCACCTCTATTTAGTATAAGGTCTGGGCTAAAGTTTAGTTCATAGTCTGGAGTATAGTATAGTCTATAGTCTGCACGATAGTCCATAGTCTAGACTATATAGTGTTATCTATAGTTAGAACTATTGTGTGGAACTATAGAGTGGACTATAGCCTAGGCTGTAATCTGGAATATAGTCTAGTCTATAGTCTGCTAAATAGTTCAGCCCATATATACTATAGTCTGAATAATAGACTAATCTATAGTTGAAACTATTGTCTAGTTTATAGACGGGACTATTGTCTAGTCTTTTGTCTGAAGTATAGTCTGGTCTATAGAGTGGACTATAGCCTAGGCTGTAATCTGGAATATAGTCTAGTCTATAGTCTGGCCAGTAGTTTAGCCCATACTCTGAACTATAGTGTAAACTATAGGCTGGACTATAGTCTAGTATATAATCTGGACTATAGTTAATTCTATAGTCCGGACTATAGTTTAGTCTATACTCTGGACTATTGTTAGTCTATAGTCTGGAGTATAGTTTAGTCTTCTGTAGTGTGACTATAGTTCAGTCTATTGTCTGAACTATTGTTTAGTCTATAGTATATTCTGGACTATACTTTTAATTTATAGTCTGAACTATAGTTTAGTCTATAGTCTGGACTATAGTTTAGTCTATTGTCAGAACTATAGTTTAGTCTATAGTCTGGACTATAGTTTAGTCTATAGTCTGGACTATAATTTAGTCTATAGTCTGGACTATAGTTTAGTCTATAGTCAGGAGTATAGTTTAGTTTATAGTTTGGAGTATAGTTTAGTCTATAGTCTCTTGTATAGTTTAGTCTATAGTCTAGACTATATTTTAGTCTATAATCTGAACAATAGTTTAGTCTATAGTCTGGACTACTTTTTAATCGATAGTGTGGACTTTATTTTAGTGTATAGCTTATATATAGATTTATATAAGTTTGTAGTCTGGACTATAGTTTAATCTATAGTCCGGGCTATATTATAGTCGATACTCTGGGCTATAGTTTTATCTATAGCCTGGACTATAATGTAGTCTGTAGACTAAACTATGGTTTTAGTTTTATAAACTAAACTATATTCTAGTCCATTGTCTAGAGTATGGACTAGTCTGAATTATAGTCTACTATATTATATGTACTATAGTCTAGTCTATCGCCTGGTCTATAATATGGACTTTAGTCTAGTCTTTAGTATAAACTATAGTCTAGTCTATAATCGGAAATATTTTCTGTAAACATAAATAACACAATCATAAAAACATATACTCACCTATAATAATTCAACACCTGGGCAAAAACTCCCGGATGTCGATCAAAAAAATATTCATTTAGTAGCGGATCATAGTTGGCCAACGCTTCCGTTAATTTTGACAGTCTAGTGGCTGGGATTTTCTTTAATGTTGCCTTATATGTCTCATGTCTAATGCCGCCAACATTTAAAACAACCCGATTTTCTGAATCCATATTTATTAAATTCATAGCTGTATGAGAGCGGGAATAATAGGAATTTTTTTTCGGTATATAAGTCATGATGATGAGCTAAATTAAAAACAAAAGAAAAACCAAAAACAAAAAGAGCCAAAGGCTCCTTTATATTACTGACCTTACGTTTAAGTGTGTGTATGTTTTGTTTTTTTTTTATTCGCTATATATAAGAGTATGTTATGATGGCGTATTTGCTTTTTTTTAATTAATATTTTAATAAAATTAATTAAATGATTTTCTCTTTGAGTCCTTTTTGAGTGCTTGTTACAAAAGACGACAGCGTAGAGCGTATGATGATATACTATGATGCGATGATTTTTCTTGATTTAATTTTTTTACAGTTGTTGCTGTTTATCTCAAGGATTATATAATGGTTGTTGTTATTAATAATAATATTAAATATTAATAATAAGTATGTATGTATGTTTGTTTTATATAAAAAAATGTTGCCGATGTGTTAGTTAGTTATAGACTACTAAGCATTACAATTATTTTTATTGATACATTTGGAAAGCTAAGTTGCAGCAACAGTTAACAGCATTTGTATAGCACTAAATATGTTGTTGTTTTTTGTTGGTTGTAGTTGTTCTGGTTGATTGATCGATTGATTGATGGACAGACAAACACGCTTTCACACACATACTATTAGCTGGTTAATAAAGCCATTGTTGTTCTTGTTGTGGCAGCAGTTTAAGTTTTTGCTCTTGTTGCACTTGATATTGTTGCATTATAAAAGCCAACACATACACATGCAACAATATTTACACATGTGTATGTGTTTGTGTGTGGGGGTTATGTATATCTATCTTTTTAGTATTATTTTTAGTATTTATTTATTTAATTAATATATAATTTTTTAATTAATTTTTTCTGTTTTATTTTTAATTATTTGCAAATATATCGAACATTCAAGGCGTATGTAAAATCAATGTTCAGCGCTGTAAAAGAATTAAAAGCATATAATTTTAATTAGTTAATTTATAAATGAGATATCTGTGGCAATAAGGAAAAAGTTAATAATAGTTATACTAGACTACAATCCAAATTATAGACTACACTATAGCCCATACTATAGACAACTCTTTAGTCCATAGTCCAGACTATAGACTAGATAATAGTCCAGACTTTAGTCCAAATTATAGACTATACTATAGTCCGGACAAATAACTATAGACTAGACCACAGTTCATACTAAATATAGACTATACAGGCAATAGACAAGAATACAGTCCAGATTTTTGCCCAGACTAAAGAGTATAATACAGTCCAGACTAAAGACTAGACTGTAAACGATACTAAAGACTAGATAGTCCAAACTAAAGTCTCAACTAGACTATAGTCAATAATATAGTCCATACTAAAGTCCAGGCTATAGTCCAGACAATAGACTAAACTATTACTAATACTATTGATTAGGCTATAGTCCAGACTATAGAATAGACTATAGTCCGAACTAAAGACCATAAACTAGACAAGAGTCCATATTGTAGACTAGAATATAGATTAGACTATAGACTGGACTAAAGTTTAGACTATATTCCAGACTATATACTATAGACTAGACTATAGTCCAGACTATAGCCCAGGCAATAGTCAAGACTATAGACTAGACAATAGTCCAGACTAATGTCCAGACAATAGACTAAACTATTATTTATACTATAGATTAGGGTATAGTCCAGACTATGGTCCGAACTAAAGACCATAAACTAGACAAGAGTCCATATTATAGACTAGACTACAGTTTAGACTATAGGCTAGACTATAAACTAGACTACAGTTTAGACTATAGGCTAGACTATAGACTAGACTATAGTCCAGACTATAAGCTAGACTATATTCCAGACTATAATCCAGACTATATACTAGACTATAGCCTAGACGAGGCTATAGTCCTGACTTTAGTCCAGACTATATTTAGTCCTGACTTTAATCCAGGCTATAGTCCTGACTGTAAACTAGACTGGACTATAGAAAAGACAATAGTCAAGACTATAGTCTAGACAACATTCAAGACTATAGACAAGGCTATAGTTCTAGCTTTAGTCCAGACTATAGTAGACTAGACTATAGTCCAGACTATAGGCTAGACTATATTCCAGACTATAATCCAGACTATAATCCTGACTATATACTGGACTATAGCCTAGACAATAGTCAAAACTATAGACCAGACAATAGTCAAGACTATAGGCGAGGCTATATTTAGTCCTGACTGTAAACTAGACTGGACTATAGACAAGACAATAATCTAGACTATAGACTAGACAACATTCAAGACTATAGACAAGGCTATAGTCCTAAATATAGTCCTGACTTTAGTCCAGACTATAGTCCTGACTTTAGTCCAGACTATAGTCCTGACTTTAGGCCAAACTATAGACTATACTATAGTCCGGACTAAAGACTATATTGAGATGAGACTAAAGACTAGATAGTGCCGACTAAAGACTAGACTATAGTTTATACTATTATCCATACTAAAGTCTGTACACATTCTGACTGCAGTCAGAATAAAGACCAGAATATGAACTATAGTCCGGACTATAGACTAAACAATCTAGTCTAACCTTTAGTCTGGATTATCGGTTTATAATCTACACAATATAGTAATGTATAGAGAATCTAGAAATATAAAAACATATTTTTTGTCTAAATCGAAATATGCACTATTTCCTTAAGGACACAGACATACATACATATTGAGTTGTTTTATTATTGCTTAATTAAGCCCACGTGTTTGGGTGTTATTTTTATATCTTCCATTAGGGTTATTGAACTAATAAATAAAACCAAAAAGTGGCCAAATAAAAAAACTTGATAATCAAATAAAAGTTCAAATACTATAAAAATGCTGCTCTGCTTCGCTTTACTTGACTTGATACATACATACATATGTATGTAAATATGTGTGTTAACTACTTTCATCAAGCAAAATACATATGAATGTATACGTGTGAGTTATAAAACGGAAATAAAACTGAAAATTTATAAAAGTTCTGCTGGATTTTATGGCTTTTATTTTTAGCTTTGTTTTTGCTGTTTTTTCCTTATATGTATTTGTATTAGTGTCACTTGATAATTTGTTGTCTTTTTAAACACACTGTTGCTATTGACTGTCAGTGTTTCTTCCTTTAAATAATTTCTATATTTTGTTGTAATAAAACGCGCGTATTTTTCTTTTTTTTTTTTTGTAAAATTTATTTAGGTTGTTTTTCCTTTTAACGAGCATGCGCTTAATATGAGCACAAAACAAGGATAATTAAGTATGTAAAGATAGTAACTGAGTCTGTTTTTAATTTCACACACATACACACACACACACTCACACCCTTTAAACACCCGCACTCTTTGTTAATGTGGATATGAAAAATACATTAAATGACAATTTATTTAGAGTGTTTAATCTCTATAGAACATAAAATATTTAGCAACCAGTGGAAATATTAAATTTTATTCTTTACACTTCATTTGAAAATACATTTAAACACAAAATCAAATGAAGAGGTTATAATTGAGTTTGTAATAAAAGAGATAATGTGGTTAATGTAAACCACATTCTAAATAGATCTTTATTAAATTTAATATTTTTCAGTTAAATTGTTGCTATTGAGAAAAGAAGAAATAATTTCTTAGTTAAAATTAGCTTATAATTTCTTAATACAGAATAACATACTAACGACTACTACTTACTAACGGCATTACTTGACAGTAGTACAGTAAGGACTTAATTTTAATCTTATGTAAGCATGTAAATACTTAATGGCGTAATTTGCATACAAGAAATCAATAAAAGTCTCATTTGGTTAAGAATGTTTTAAGCAAAACCTAGACAGTATAATGAAATGTGAAAAGTTCAAGAGTTTAAATGGTCTATATAAAAGGTACAGTATGGGTATTTTACGGACTCCATCAGTCAACACATATTCTCAGTTAATGCAAACATCGCACAAAGAATCACTCTAGCTCAACGATTCAACCAGACTGCTTTCATATATCGACCTATAAGGTAAATCAGATATACACTCTCCATAGATCCATACAATCTCCATAGATTTAGTAAAAATTTGAACTCCTCAATTCCCTACCAGCGATTGAAAATACTGATCTCAGTAATGTCGGTGTGACTGAGTTGACAATTCTTAGTCGTTGTTCGTTGATGTCCTAGTCGTTCCGGTACAAAGAACCGAATGTTGCAGTGAAACCAAGGAAAAGTTCACACCAGGGGGAATCATATAGGCTAATGCCAATCTCCCTCTGTCACCCATTGCCAAAAAACACGAGAAACACTATTCCTCCCGGAATTGCAACAACACATACATTTAACAGAACTTCAACATGCACAGCACAATAACAGCTTTAACAGCCATTACCATACAAGTTTGCCACAACCTTAATCAAGCCCGACCAAGTCAACATACGGTGTTCGTACTGTTAATCCCGCCAATCTCTTCATAGATATTTTTACATAAGATTTCTTCGACAACACCAAGAGATGGCTTGTGAATTACATGTGTGGACGACAGTCATTCGTGGAGTTTAGGAACAAGAGATCCAAGTCTCGTGGAATTAAACAGGGAGTTCTCTAAGTTGGAGTCCTTACGCTGATAACCCCGGACAGCGACCAAATAATATCCTACACCGATAACTGCTCGATATTGGCCACGGTTTGATGTCCTTTGCGGTTTGATAAACAGTTACTAATGTGATCTTTTCAACTTCTTCAGCGACTCCCCTCACTACATGGACAAAAAAAGATCTGATATAAAAATATATTTTTGCATCAGATCTCTCCGATAATACCGAGAAATGGCCAGTGAATTACACGTTGGACGACAGTCATTTATGGAGTTTAGGAATAAGAGATCCAAGTCTTGTAGAATTAAACAGGGTGTTCCCCAAGGTGAAGTCTTTTCTCTAATCCATTTTAATTTCTATATGTCTAAACTACCAACACCAACGGACGGTGTCGAAATAATATCCTACGCCGATGACTGCACGGAAAATATATATACGACATAATCCTAGACAACTCTCTTCCCTACATAGAAAGTTGGGCTAGAACTGGATCTGACAGTCGATGGTGAAAAAATTCTGCCGGTAAATCACCTCCTTATGTCCTTCGCAAACATCACTGCAATCTTCAATCTGCAATCTTCACCCTTTGTAAGCGAGAGAGTGGACAACCTGGTTGACTCTAATTCTTCTTTCGTCACTGATGTACTTTTTGTAAACGAGGGAAAAGATTTTTAGTGTCCCCTTTGTAAGCGAGAGAGTGGACACTTAAAAAAACAAACTTAAGCTTTTCGTACTCTATGGGGTGACGATTGACTTCCTTGTAAGACAAGCATATAACAGTTTGTCACCTTGACACGAATGTCGAGTGCTTTACGTGAACACCTACCTTGACGGCCTTATTTCACGGTGGTCTTTTTCACCCACTGGGTAGATTAGATACGGTCTACCACGCGCCGCTGATTCCTTCTATGAAGAACTCAGGTGCCAATTTTTGTACATGGCTGGGCCGGTCCATGTACAAGAACTTTGAAGAACTCGAGCTATCTAATCTCTTTCCATAGTACCTCCGTTGCGGGGTGGCAGGCAGCATAGGATCAATCCCAATGCAAACCCCGACAAGGAAATAGCAATCACTGGTCTAAAGTCAATAGAAGGGACGACTACCCCAACATCAGATGAAATCAATCTTTGGGTATACCGGAATGTGACCACCCTTATAATGTCATGAAAGATTGCATTATTTAAAAAGCAATCCCCGTCAACTAATGGCCTATTCCAGTGCATTACTTAACCTCTTAAAGCCAGCGCAAACACACTACTGAGATGGCTCTGTT